CAAATACTAGCAGGTGTGCTACAAACATATCTGCGTGGTTTGAAATTCCATCTAATTTTAATTGATCATTACAATTCATGAATACGATACGCAGACCTACCAAATGATGCCAATTGACGTAGATACTTGCAGCAAGCTCAAAAAGTTTAAAACAGCCAATTGAAACATGCCACTTGATCCATACAGATTAGCGCCACTTATTTTGTAGATTAGGATAATTTGTCGCCTTTTGGTAACTGTTATCCTGGCTTCGTTTTTTTCTCAGTTCGAAAGATGAAACCGATTTTGTGCTACAGTTTTGAAGAGATTACTATATTGTCTTTTACATTATTACATTGTCTTTTAAAAAACCTCCCATATAAATGAAGGACGAACCTTTAATCGGTCGGTTTATTGATTTACGCGTTTTTTTATTTTTAGAAAATTGGGAAACAACCATTTTAAACAAACGCAAGGCGGAGTTTTGAAAAGTTTGCGGCTAAAATCATTGCTTGAAAAAGAAACTAAACAGCCGTAAGGGATCCCGGTCAAAATATAAAAACCAAGAATAAAAAGTTGCTCATAATTAGTAGAACGCGAGAAATTCTCCTGCAGCTTTTTGAAAAAAAATGCTCTGATCCAAACATTTTTGCCTCGGTTTGCGCCTTTTTAAGCACAATTAAACGAAAACATTCAAAAAGCACATTTCAAACAAAACATTATTTCAATCATTACGAGGCCAAAATGTGCGCTGGATAGGCGCAAAATTTTGTGTCTGTATGTTCCTGGATTCCAGAGACAAGTCTTTAAATATGTTCCAAAGTGTAAGTGGATTCCACAGACAAAATTTTAGTGGATTCCGCATACATGTACCTGTTACGTAAATTTTGTCGGCACACTTGATTTTTTGCGGATTCCGCAACAAGCAAATATAGCTAGTTATTCTGGATTCCGCAACTGTAAGTGGATTCCGCAAAACGTAAGTGGAATCCGCAAAATGTAAGTGGAATCCGCAAATGTAAGTGGAATCCGCAAACTGTAAGTGGATTCAAAATTTTGTTTATTACTGAACTTGCATATGAACAATTAAAAGCTAGAGCTGGAACTCTTATCTAGAGCAATGCGGAATTTAAAGGCAAGGACTTAACCATTGTCAGCGGAATCCACGAACAAATCTCAAAACATTTGTTAACTAAATCGGTGGATGTCACCATTTAATATTTTGAAAACTTAAGGCCAATTAAGTTCAATATTTGGAGTCATTGGGTTGAGAGTGTATGGAAACACAACACACATCATATTGTCAGTTTAGGTCAATCCCAAACACTGATTTTAGAAGCTTAACGCCAAATAAAATCAATATTGGTAGTAACTGACTTGAGAGTGTTTAGAAATCGCCGAATTAGGTCAGTATCTGGGATTGCATCAGTATTTGGGTTCGAAGTTTAGATCAAACTAGGTCAGTATTTGGGATGGGTAGGTCAGTATTTGCAATCGAAGTTCAGTAGGTCAGTATTTGGGATCGAAGTTCAGTAGGTCAGTATTTGGGTTCGAAGTTCAGATCAAATTAGGTCAATATTTGGGATGGGTAGGTCAGTATTTGCGATCGAAGTTCAGTAGGTCAGTATTTGGGATCGAAGTTGGGATTGAAGTCGACAGGATTTGAGATCGAAGTTGGGCTGACAGGAATTGAGACCAAACGTTTGGTATTTCAACTCGTAGTTGATCACAGTAGTAATTGAGATTAATTTTTTTTGACCAGTAGTTAAAAGATATAAATTTAAATGCTATACTACACATATACATATATGTAAACGGAATCCGCAAACAAAATGCGGATTCCGCCAACAATTTGCGGATTCCACTTGCAAGTTGCGGATTCCGCTTACAGTTGCGGAATCCGCAACTGCTCAATTTAACTATACGAATGTCTTTTTATTTGTTTGTGGATTCCACAAACTGTTCTGATTCCGCAATTACGGATATGGATTGCGCAAAATCGCCTATTTTTGGAGCAATTTTGAGCGGTACAGTGTTTTAAGTATTCGTTTGTGGAATCCAAAACAGCGAAAAAGATCAAAGAGAAGTAGCAAAGTTGCGGGTTCCGAGACAAATCTGATTTTGGTCAGTTGCCGAATCCGCTTGCAATGCACAGAATGCACAGTTTGGCCTCGTAAGGATTTTTTTTCGTTCAAAACAGTTACCACGCCACAATAAAGGCCCCGATACTTTTGCTAAAAAACGCGTCAGTTCATATCAAAACTTCAAATCCGTCTAAAAGACAAAAGAAATAATACTTAGTTTTTAATTTTTTTTTCGGAAGTCGATTAGTAGGTGTTCTACAATTTAACATCATTACACAATAACACCATGTCATTTATCAACATGTCTCTTAACTCCATGACAATTTAACTTTTTATGTAACTTTTAACACTAACTGGAATTATAAACACCGGCAAATTAGGAAGCACTTAATCCTACCTATTTAATGGTATACATAGGATTTTCATACCTGAAGTTTAAGCCGAAAACACCTGGAATTCAGATTTCCTTTTTCATTATAAGAGCTCACAAAACATTGGTAATTGTTCTTAAATCAAATAGAATGAAAACTGTGCTATGAAACAATTTTCACGCCAAAAAGATTGCTCGTGTATGAGGGCGAGGCCCTGATTTTTCCGACTGCCTGTTGAGGCCAACTAAAAAGTTTTTAAAACCAGTGAAAGATCCTTTTCCTATTTTTTTATTCATTTTAACCTCACATATGTCATGTAAAGTAAGAAGGGATGAATTAAGTGTCTCGTGTTCTGAAAGTTAGGCCAATAGATGCGTCTCAATTCAACTTTAAAAAGCATTGCGTGCTTTATAATAACGCTATTATACGCGCTTTAATGATACCAAATAAGTCAAACGAAACTGCTCGTAGATCAGGGCGAAGATTTGAATGTTCAGACTGCCTTTAATTGGTCTCGAATAGTTTTTGGTAAAAGAAACTATTTAAATTTTGGAGAATGACAAAAATCAAGCGTGAAATGAGAAAATATTTGTCGCACAAATTTAATACGACCGATCAGCTAGTCTCCATTCACTTTGTAACGATTTTGTTGTGCAGGATGATTCGTCACGCTTAAATAATAAGCCGCGTTAGGCTTTCAGCATAAGGAATAAATTATTCAAAGCGCGCTTATGTTAGTCCTTATGAACATGGCCAAGTTGTCTATTTTCAAATTCCCTGAACCTTGAAAAAAACAAACGGAGGTAACTTATTTTCTTAATACATTTGAATTAAGAGATCCGATTTTTTCAAGGAGGTATATTTTTTTGTTAAGATCTATTACATCGATCGCCAAAAATTGACTGAATAAAAAACCGCACTAAGCATAAACTTTCTGTTTTTTTCCAAAGTCGGAACAATTAGCTTTTAGATTGTAAAGAAAGTTTCCGTCAAAAACACTGAGCTATAAGTCCAAAGATGACTGAAAAAAAAAACACCGCCAGCAAAAATATTCCGTACTTCCTCCAAAATTTGGATTTCATACCCTATTGAGACTATATGTGTTGAAATATAACAAACTGAATGTTTGAATATCCAAAACACTTTCGCTTCAAAATCATTACAAAGCACTCCCGGGTTGACCTCCATAGACCGAAAATGCTTATCGTACAATTCCATAATTTAAGTCTACGAAAAAACCCTAATCATACAAAATTTATACATCTTGCTAATTTGGTTTCAACAAATTATAAATTTTCTTGTTTTTGGCATAAAAGCTGGTGTATCGTACTAAGCAAATAAGAACCTTTTTTGTCAGAAACAACGCTAATTATACAACTTCCATTTATGAAAATTGTATGACTAGCATTTTTTTGAAGGCAACAACAAAATTTTTTCTTTTTCATTTAGTACGATACACCGGTTTTTATGCCAAAACAAAAAATATTTTCAATTGTGCATAACATAGTCGTGACACCCAAAAATTGGATTTTTTTTCCGTTTCTCTGGGTAACTTTTTTTTCAAAATTGCCTAAAACTCCTACTTTTACTTACGGCCTTTACTTACGGCATTCTTATTTACGGCATTTTTATGTATGCCTTGATGCCTTGATCAATGTCTGATAATTTAAAAAATCAAAATGAAAAAATAACCTTCTTGGATTTTTTTTTAGAAAATGCTAATTATACAATTTCCATATAATAAAAACCTTTAATCAAGACCTTTCATGCAATTTTCTGTACTTATGGAATTGCATGAAAAGTGTATGACTAGCATTTTTCCAGATATGAAAATTGTATGATTAGCATTTTTGGTCTGCTAGCTTACATAATATTGTCCATTTGAAAACAAAAATTATAATTGAGTCCACTTTTTATTTCAAAACTTGTAGTGGTGTTAAGATGTTTGTTTAGGTAGGTATCAATTGACGAAGATTCAATTTGTATAAGGTTATTTTGTTTGAATTTCAAAAAATGGGATCCAGACCAGATTACCCGCATCTCCAATCTAAAATTTAGAGTTAAATGCCAAATTCTGATGTACAAGATCATGCTGTTTTTTTTTAGAAAAGTTTCATGTTTTTCAGCGTCAGCAATTGTGAGTTTCCAAGCTTTTCAAGAGTTTCAAGAAATTTTTGTTTATTTGAAATACTCGGTCTAAAATCTTGTTCGACAAAAACAATTTCACTATTTCGTTACGCTTAGAGTAGTTTTCTATCGTCGCTGTGTTTGAAATGCATTTTTGCATGAAAATTAATACAAAATTTTGACCAGAAATAAAGGTTCCCTTTCTTTTTCTGCCAAAACATCTTATAACCAGCCGACTTCAAGCCTGTCAAATTTTTGAAGTACTTAATGTTGAATTTAACTTTCAATTCTGAGACGCTTACTGCGTGATTAAAAAATCTGAACGCGTAAGTTGTTTCAAATCAAGTTGGAATATTGAAATGAAAACATGAAAAGGTTTTAAGCTGAATTTGAAGTTGAATTGAAGTTGACACGTGACGTGATTGAATGAGTGTTTCAGGAACCCTGCACTTGGCAGTGAAAAGGCGCTGATTGGTCCTCGAAACAAGGGCGAGGAGGCCAATAACAACTCAGGGGTGAGAACAAGGGGGAATTTGTCCAGAAATGGTAGTTCTTCAGTTAGTGATAGTAGCCCAGCGTCCACCAGGGCTAGTTTGACATGGGTGCCATATGACTCATCTCAGCAACAGACATATCTGCATATTGCATCTCACACTCGGGTGGAAACACATTTCAAGTGAGAAAAAACTAAATTATACCAATTATACCATATCTTCATAGGTTTAACAGTATAGTTGAAACAGTTAAAATAGGACAATCAAAACTTACGTAAGCAATTCAGTTATCTTTAATATTTTTTTCTAGCCTCGATTTATTTTTTTTCTATATTCTTATCGTTTTGAAGGTATTGAAGTCGTAAAAGTTATCGATCAAAAATCAAAACAATGGGATGTTTTTACACTCTTAACAAAAAAAATGTCTTGCTAAAATTTGGCCTATGAGTATTTTTGAAAGACGGTCAGAAGAATGATAAACAATCAACAATGAAAAAACAACAGAAAAAGATATCATTTTAATTCCTTCTCGTAAAATATCTAAGGCGGATAAAACCACTCTAATATAGCAATAAAATTTGACAAATTGTCACTGAAACAAATCAATTCCTGTTCTCATTTAATAATCACTGATCAAACATTTATTTGGAAAAATTTTAATAAAAATCAGAAATGCATAGCCTGTATTTATGAAAATTTTTCCAGCCATAAACATCTCATAATTTTGACTCTAAACCGACAAAGGCTGTGGGCTTTAGTTTCCGCCATATTTCCACGTTTTGAAACATTAATTTCAACTGCTGCATTTGTTTGCGATGTTCTGGTACCTAAATATCTGGCTAAGCTCTGGCCATTTGAATGTTTTCCAAATCATGTTAGTATAGGCTAAGTTTTTTTACGCTGGCCTAGATTTTGACTAATTTTATGCAGAATGTACCCAAATTTTCAGAATGTACCCAAAGTTTGAAAATTTTGTCGACCATTTCTCTCTCTTTTTTTAGTCAACCAAATTGATGATTGAGTCTCGAGCTTTCCCAAAGCACTATAAAAACCCTATTATGACAAAAACTTCTTCGCCGCAGGCAATTTGATAAAAAACATGAAAATGCTGTTTTTGGGCACTTTTTGAAAAATTTAGACAAAAAACAGCGTTTTTTTCGGCGCGAACTCCCCCTCAAGTTAAGTCATATTGGCGCCTGCGCATAGACGCCTCAAGAAAATTTCTAGGTTGGCCAGCCAAAATGGATATCGTAAAATTACTACCAAAGGAGGGATTCTTGGGAAAAATTTGGCACCCAGACAGAATTGAGGGGAGAGAAAGGCGCCCCCCCCACACTAATGTTTTTGGCATTTGATTTATAACTAAAACGATCAGCAGCTGAATCGCAATGTGAGCAAGTAGGGATGAAACTTACGTGAGGTGGATTATCTCTGCTACTATTGACTCAATCTTAAAAACTAATGGTACCATATTGTAAAGGTTGTTCAAGTTATTGCTGCCCTGCTCATTCAGTTCAATTTCAATAACCCTCCCAAGAATGCAGCATAAAAAAAGATACTTTTTGTTCAGGAAGCGAACGTTGGATTTCTGGAATAACCTCATGCCACGATTGTCGGGTAAGTTCTCTAACTTTTTTCCCAAAAAAAATCAGTAATTTCAAAGCTAAAATTTGAAGCTGTTTTTTATAGTAATATGGTATGTCTTTCGAAAATCAACAAAGGCTTCTAGGCGTTGACGTTCTCTCAAATGATAATAACTGTCCGTAAAATTAATTATCATGATTAAGCTCCATATTAATTAGAAAGCAAAAAAAATTGGATCTAGCGAACTAGCTCCCCTTATTCCAAAAAGAAATTTTTCTAGATTCAAAAATTGTAAATGTTTGTAGTTGGAAGTTCAGTTATAGTCCTAAAAACGGGTGAAAAATTGTTGTTAAAGCCCAAAAAAGGTGATTGTAATGCGTTTGACTTTTTACAGTTATTTGCCAATTGTAAACTTTCAGGTATTCGCGAGAATTGTGGCGAACTGCGAGGTTTCCCAACATTAGATCCAACTCTTGACAAATTGTCACCCCCCTACCACAACGGAAACAATCACTTTCTGGGGGGACCTTCTTGGAGCAGTGAACAAACCGCCGAACAATCCAACTCTGTACTAGCAGTTATCATTTCAATATTCGCCATGCTATTAGTTCTTTTATTCGGAATTATCTTGTTCTTAATTCGTAGAATCAATCATTTGAGAATCAGCGAGGCACAATCACGTTCGCTGATTGAAAAAATACAACTTAGTAACGACATTCGAAGACCTAACGGAACTGTCCATACAAAAAAGTATTCAGACGATACAAACTCGACCATACATATGGACAACCATCATGCCCATAACAAATCCATGAATGGAAAAATTCCTTCAGCGGCAAAATGCAACTTGGGTAATAAAACGAAATCATTAGAAGACCGTTGCTCGAAAACTTTCAACTCGCCGAATGAAGATAGCGTTATTGGTCGAAAACATATTCGCTCTGACACGACGCCGTTGTTTGGCCAGGGCTCCGATGATTTGTCTCCTGGGTCCGACAAACTAAGTTCGGCAACGGAGAGCGACGCGACTTGTCAATCAGCAACCAATAGTTTCCATTTCAACACAACTTCACGACTGCCGTTAATTAAAGCCGACTTGAGCCGAGAAATATGTAACAGCCGAGAACTGCCGAATGGCCGAAACAGAAGAAAACACGGGTCACCTATTCCTTTGAAGCTAACTGGTACATTAGTGACTCCTAGTAGAAACAAAGATAATCAGTTTTTCATCACAGAAAACAACCAATATACGTTCCCAAGGCCGATAAATTTTCACGCGATCAAAGAGACAAATTTAGTTTCTGAATGCGAAGCGTTAAAGTCGATCAGCCCTGCTCGTTACAACAACGTGAAAACTCAACCATATTACGATTGCTGAAGAGAATGGGTTTTTACAGATTAACTAGTATTAGTGTTTCTTTATTTTGTAATTGAAAAACCTAATTTAAGTTGCGTTGGCATTTAAGTCAGATGAGAAAATGATTGGCAATTTGAGTTTTTAGTACTTTATATTTTTTTTGAGATAAGAATTGCGGTTTTAGCGAGAATCCACAAATGTTTGGATCAACCATGTTTGGATTAAAATAAACCACAGATCAACATTTAGGAAAAAAATCAGAGTTTGAGAAAAACTACAGCTTAACATTGGCGAAAAACTACAGTTCACAGATAAACAGATCAGCAATTAAGGTCAGCAATCTATTCTTATCCTTATCAATCAATTCTCATCAACAATACCTTCGTTTAATGTTGTCAATTCTCATCAAGGGGGTGCGCAGCAAAAAAATACCCTTCAGCCGAAATATTCACAAACCGTGCCGTAATACGTCATTTTTTGCCAGTTTTTCTTTCTGCTGTATTAAACATTTAAGCAAAATCGCGTCATTATATATGATAAGAAATAAAAGTGATTTTGAGGTGGTTTGTGTGGTGATATTGGGGTGATTACACTGGTATGGTTATAAAAGTATTGTTTTTTGGGGTCGTTTGTTTTTTTTCTAGATAAAACTAGACATTTTTGTTGAAAACGTTCGTTGTTCAGTATTTGAATTCCAATAGATAATCAACTTGATCTCGAAAAGTTAACAATAAGAGTGTCACTAAACATTATCCAAGGGTGACAGACTATGCCAAGGACAGCACCTGCTAACAGATCATTTAGCACCACGATTGACAGTTGATTGACCGCTGTAAGTTGAACTAAATAAAGACTATATGACACTTCCCCTTCAATAGATGAAACTCTAAATGACTGAAAAATTTAACTACTAGATGTTGACCATAAGTTACTGATGAAGAAAATGTTTGACTGAGCGTTTTGAATATGATTAACAAATTTACTGACAGCTGATTTTAGCAACTAAAATATCACTTAGCAGTGAATTGGCATTTTGAGTTTTTAGTCAAATGAAGACCAACCCTCTCCCTGGGCTTAGATAGTTTTGGTAATTTCCAGGTTTAAGTTTTCAACTATTTCTCCTCTTCTTTATCGTTCTTGTTGATGAAATCGATCATCACCCCTCCCATCTTCGTCACCGCCGTTCTCTTTCTTCCGCTCCTTCTCGATGCAGTCTCGTCCTGACTATCTTCTTGACTGCTATACGATACCAGCCTGGCTTTTCGTGTCGTTCTCTTCTTTACCCGTGTACTGGCAATTTTTGGTCCTCTGGATTCAACGCTGATGGATCCTTTGGATTTCTTTCCGATTCGCCGCCTAGTGCCGGGATTGTATCTTGATATCTTCCGATATCTGCTCCGATTTGTGCTGCTCCTGGTTGTGTCTCCGCGGATTTTTGGACTGTTCGTTTAACTGAGATAATTGGTAAATCCTCACTATCTTCCTATTCGGAACCACTGTTCTCAAATCGGCGCCCGGTTTGCTTCCGTTGTTTTTCGGGATCTATTTTCCGTGTCGCCCGCTCTTTTACTTCGCTTGGAGTTGGGGGTGGTAGAACCGCTTGTGCTACTGCCGACTTTACTTTCTTGGATTTTGGCTTCGTGGCCACACCCGATTTTCTAAGCACAACCCCGTTATTTAAAGTTAACGTATGAGCACTTTCTGCTTTAACCTTAGAGTGAAGCTGTTTATACAATTTTAGGTTTCGGTTTCCGGTTCGCTGGAATAACAACCCAGAGCGTCCCGATTGTCCGCTGGTGCCTGCGGATTTTAGTATTGACGGTTCGTGTTCCTAGGATCCTGATTGCTCATTGGTCAGCTGGCGCGCGTGGCTTCTGTGCTTAATATCATAAGCGAGATCCGATCGTACACCCCATTTCGTTTCAGCAGGGTGTGGCATGTCCCTCACATTAGGGTAGGCGTCATCTAAACAAGCATTTTTCGTTTTTATAACCCGCGACCAATCCAGATTTTGAAGAGATGGTTTTTAGTAAGGTTTCTTAGGACAGTGTTCGCGCTTCTCGACCATGATGCGCCTCGAATGGCAAGATTTTTAGTGTTGCATTCTTCGAAAATCTGAGAGCACCAAGGGCCCTTTCATCCATTTTCTCCAAGGGATCGGGATGTTTTTCTTGGGCAAAATGAGTTTTTAAGACTACCAATGGTGCGCTCCACGCACCCAGTTGCCCGGTGATCGTTAACTGGTGATTTTATGATTTCAATGCCCTCCCCATTGCAGAATGCTTTAATTTCGTTCGACATAAAACTTGTTCCCTGGTCCCAGTGAATTTTCCTTGGCACCCCGTGATTTGTTATATAACATTTTAAAAACTTCATTATTTTATCAGACCGGTTGTTTCCATAGACCATTGCCGATGGCCAACGAGAAAACCTATCGACCGCCACTTACACATTTTTCCGGGATTCATTTAAATAGTTAATAGGGCCCCAAAAGTCCAGTTGTACTGATTCGTTTGGTTCCTTCGGTTCAGGTATATTTCTGAGCTGATTCTTACTTAAAATCGTTTTGAAGTTCTTACCTGCGGCGGTGCATTCAGGGCAGTCCTCGGCTATTGAAGCTATTGGACGATAAATGTATGGACACCAAACAGCTTTTGCGGCATCAATTATATTGGTTTTCCCGTTATGATAAGCATGAGTTTGGTTATTAATTGCAGTTTGGAGGTTCATTGGTATCAAATTTTTTTCATCCATCCACACGACGTTCTCTTTCACGTAAAAGGCATTAAAAAATTGAGAATAATAACGATTCATAGCTGTAACCTTCGCGTGAATGTTAGGATCCTTTGTAACTATTAAATCCTTAATCGCGCTCAGTTGGGGGTCAGAAACGTAATTGGACTCTATGAACTTTAGATTGAACAAATCCGGTAATGCGGTAATCTTGTTTACAATTTTGCAATTTCGAGGAATGATTGACATGCATATTGAATTCGGATCCACGGGTGAAATTGTCTCACCTTTGAAAGCCGAGGGTAACGAGAGGGTAGTGTTTTTCCGTACTGATTTTGTTTCTTTGGTAATCGCCTCTAAGGATAAGTTATTCCGTGGTAATTCTTCTCGTCACTGCTGTTGTTTAAACTCGGGTGTTGTTGCAAAAATTTCTGCCATTTTTTCATATTCTTGTCCATTTTAATTTGAGATTTTGAATTGTGGAATTTTGAATTAAAATTTAGACAACTTTTCTGAGATTGAGTAATAGCACCGACTAAATTACTGAGTAAATTGCGTAGCCGTCGGTTTAAGTCATGTGTTCGATTCTGATTGGTCGATTTCAACTCGCATGACTTGCCGCCCTCTACCGGTGTATTTCGTGACGAAACTTTCAATCTATTTATTGATTGTTTGCTTTCCGCTTTGATATGCGGTCCTTGGATTGATTATTGCGTGTTTTATATCCCCTGGATGCACTACTGTTATCGAACCCGAGAGCGATACATATTAAGTTTATTTACGCCTAGGTAAACATAATATTATACGTACTAATTGGCGTTGCTTCTTGACTCGGATGACGTGATAAGTAGTCCGCCAGCCCAATTTTTGCCCCTGGTTTATGTTCAATTTGGAAATCAAATAGAATGAGTCGGTCTAACCAACGCGTTAAACGGCTAAACATTGTCTTGTTTTTCTTATTATTTCCAATCAAAAGGGATATAAGCGCTTTATGATCGGTCACTGTTAAAAATTTTCTTCCCAGTATGTAATTTTGCAAGTATTCAGCCCCCCACACAACTGCCAACATTTCTAATTCATTTGTTGAATATTTTCTTTCCGCATCGTTAAGATACCGTGAGGCAAATGAAATCGCTCTCCGCCCTTCCGGTCCTAGTTGTTTGAGTACGGCACCTAGCCCGTTAGAACATGCATCGCCTACTCATCGAATATCCTTGTGAATATCGAAATGTCGCAGTTCAACAATATTGGACACTTGTTTCTTGAGATTTTCAAATGCGTTCTGGCATTCGGGTGTCCAAATATATTCATTACTTTTACTTAATAGTGGCCGCAAAGGCGCGGACGATTGAGCTAAAGCTGGCAATTACTTATGAAGGCAATGTATTGACCCCATGAACGATTTTAACTGCGCTAAGGACGGCGGTGGCGTTAGCTCTTTTATCGGTTCTGTTTTCGTACCAATGGAGGTATTCTTGTAGTTTTGTGACCTAACCACTCCCATTCCCATTGTGCGAACTTGCATTTCGTTAATTTTAGCGACATATTTTCCCGATCCAGTTTTTAAAAGATTTTCTCTACCGTTGCTATGTGGTCAATCGCGTTTCGCTTGGTTACTACCAAGATGTCGTCGATAAACGCCTGCGCCTTCGGGTATTCTGTGTGGATACAATCCATTGCGCGCTGGAATTTAGATGGCATTGTAGTCAGTCCATAGAACCCGGTCTTGAACCGGTACGTACCCGTTGACCGACCTCCGATGAGAAAAAAATTGCATCGTACGCTCGTTTCCGCGCTTAAAGGCAATTGACCGTACGCGTAGGTCAGATCCATCGTTGTAAAAAAATATATCCCCTGGTTTTTTCTCGCTGATCGTTTGCCCCACTGTATCCATTAATTCCTCAATGTTCGGCATTTGATACTTGTTCTTATGCACTTGTTTATTTAATTCTCTTGACTCGAGCGCTAGTTTTACAGACACATTTTTTTTACTGTGATTACGATTGGGGATACAAAGTATTTATCCGAGCATTCCAATAGTTTTTCGATATGACCTTGTTTAAGTAGTTTATCGATTTCAACATCTACTTTTTTCTTGCAATGAAATGGAAACTCGTCGTCCCTTCTGTTGTACTGGTGTGAGATTTTCAAAAAATTCCGCTTGCACTTTGTAATTTCTTATTTTCCCGACCCTATCAAAAAGGTTTGAAAACTGCTTAGTGAAGTAAGTTTGCCAGGAGTCCAGCTCCCCCTTTTGCACCGATGTTTCCTCTTTCACCTCATTAATGGACTTTATCTGCTCCCCTGGTGATTGCTGCACCAACTGTAGTCCTAGTTGAGGCATCAGGTCTCTTCCAATTATCGATGGGCGGTTACCTCCGATGATTTTTATCCTCGCGTTTATCTTCCAGCCAATGGA